GAGTTCATAGGGGCGAAGGTTTTCGTGAACTACAGCCAGCTTAATGCTTAAATAAATTTGTTAGTCTCTAAGGTGCCACAAGTACTCCTGATACTCTTTATCCTAGTCACTATGGTGAAGACGAGGAAAAGTGCAGTTCACAGCTCGAAGAGTAGTCAGCATCCTGCAGTTGAGTTTTGATTAGGGAGTACATCACCATGTCTTCCCTTCTCTGTGCACTTTAATCCAGGCCTGCACAAATGACAGTGGCCTTGGACAGTGTCTAAATTAGCAACTCCTTCACAGACAGCGTTTGCGACTAATGATACCGTGCAGCATTACTGAAAGCAGAAATCTGAATAGACTTCACTATGTCTACCATTCAGCAAAGCACAAGGGAGCATTCTAAGTTAACCATGGCATATGTTCAGCACTGAGGCCTTGTCTAAACAGGGATGAGGTAGTGTTCTATGAGTAGAAGAACTCAATCATGATATGCCTGTTTATCTGAGAGGACCTAGTGAAACTGGTCAGCAATTATAAAGGTATTAGTGGGGGCTCTAGGATACAATACAACTTGCCCATTAGCTGATACGATTATCCCCAATATCAGTCTCCACCAGAAGAGAATTTATTTTACAAAGAGCTTGGCCACACCATGGCATGTAAAGCTGTAGTGTAACTAAGCCAACTGTGAGGTTTATAGAGGGCGGGAAATTCTAGAAACGTACGGGACAAGCTGCAGAAGTGGCTGAACAAAAGGATTTTAGGAGTTGCCACAGGGGCTAAGTTGGGGGAAAAAAAAAGTGAATTCATTTCTACACACTTTTAGGTGAGGTGGATTCTCATGAGGAATAAGATGGTCTTGCAGTTATCACACGGCACTGGGAGTAAGTTAACCTCTCCGCATACAGCAATGAATCCACAGGCAGAGTTGTATAAACATTGGGACAACATGAGGATGGAACTCTTGACACTGGTGTCAGCACCACAGACTGCTCTTTGGGACAAGTTGACTTTTGCAACTTCAGCTGAGAACACCTTACTTAGAATAGCCTATGCAAAGCACCTCTTTTATTAAACGGTCTGTCTCTCTCTCTCTCTACTTTTAATAAATCTTGTTTTACTGAGAAACCTGCTGCTGTTTTGGGGAAGCTTCATTTAGTCAGAGAACAAGCACCTGGCATCCTCAAAAAGAGAGTGCACGTAGGATAAAGAGTTACTGGAACTGAAACCCCTCTGCTGGCATTCTAAATTTTGGTCAATAGGGAACAAGCAAATGCATTTATTCCCAGTGAGGTATATTACAAAAAGCTGGGCAGATGATACAGAGGGGAGCAACCATGAGACTGCATGAGAAGAGAGGTGGCCGTGGGGTTAGGTAACAATCTCATAAGGCAGAGATGGGACATTGATTAATGTTTCCTGCCTTCCAAAAGGAAGAGCAGTCTGAATTAAATTAAGTGGCAAAATGAGACAAAAAAGAAGGGGTGCTAAATCCTTAGCTGGTGTATATCAGCACAACGTCACTAATTTATACCAGCTGAGAATATGGCTCAGGAAGGATTGTACCCCAAGACACCACCCCAGTGTGAAAGGGAGCAATTTAGGAAAAGAAATGAATAGGAAATAATTTATGGCTGCCCACATCCTTTCCCACATGCAGCAGGGGGTTGGTAATCTCCTGAGCTCTCTTCCAACCCTAATCTTCTCTGAGTCTATGATAAGCCCCAAATGGACTCCTCTAACAGTATAGGTTATAAGGTCAACAGCTCAAATGAGAACACATTAGCAGAAATGATAGTATCTGGCACTTTTCACCCATAGACCTCAAAGCACTTTACACAGGAGGTAAATATTTTCCTTATTTTACACATGGGAAAATGGAGACAGAGGTGAAGTGACTTGTCCCCAATTATGCAGCAGTCTAGTGGCAAAGTCGGATTAAGACCTGAGTTTCAATCCAGTGCCACACACACTGGTCCATACTACCTTCCGTTTACCACCTGGTACATCAACAAATCAATGAGATGGACATGAAATCCTTGGCCAATAAACCATAGCATGAAGCTAGGCAGCAGCAAAGTAATATTTCAAATTACACAACTTGGGTATTAATTTTTGAAAAGTTTCCGTATGCAAACCCTTTTTTATTTTGCAGCACACTTCTAATCCTCCTCTTTTCTTCTCTTACTTCCATTTGCCATTCAGCCATTTTAAGACAACTCCGTCATTCAACAGAGGTAGAGGAGAAGCCAGGAGTGTTTGCCCTGGAGGGACCGCAGAGGGGAGAATACAGGTGCACCTGCACTAAATTATGATATCCTCCATATCCCTCTCTCTTTTTCCTTCCCCATTCCCCGACCTTCCTTTGTTTTTCTTTTAGCTAATTCCTTCCTATCTTCCCTTCCCTCATTCTTGTTCTATATTAAATATAAATATTTAATAAACAGAACTCCTTCAAGAATTGTATTAAAAAACCAAGACCACAACAAAATTGAGGAACTAGTATGGCATTTGCAAACCAACATTTTACTGACACTGCTTGTATGTTCTACCCCTTTCCCCACCCTTCGTTTTGTTTATTTAGCCTTCAGGCCAGCAGCTGTCTCTGGCAATGGAATAACTGGGGCCTGTAGTCACCATGATAATACAAATAAACAATAAACTGGTCTGGTTATTGGCATAACAATACTGTAACTGTAGCAGCCAGGGAAAATCCCTTCACAAAAATTTAAAGGCAGCTATTGAAGGATTGTACACCTCTACCCCGATAGAACGCTGTCCTCGGGAGCCAAAAAAATCTTACCGCGTTATAGGTGAAACAGCGTTGTATCGAACTTGCTTTGATCCGCTGGAATGCGCAGCCCCGCCCCCCCGGAGCATTGCTTTACCGCGTTATATCCGAATTCATGTTATATCGGGTCGCGTTGTATCGGGGTAGAGGTGTATATTAGTCTCAAATCAACCTTTAGCATTAAAGAGCAGAGGTTATGGTGACTGGCAGTACACAAGAATGTCTACATTTTACTATTGATAAGGCTATGATTCTGTCATGGAAGTCACGGATTCTGTGACTTTCTGGGACCTCTTTTAGGGCAGGGCTGGAGCAAGGGTCAGTCCCTGAGCCTGCCGAACAGCTGACCGGTGGCCAGCCCAAGTCCTAGCGAAGCAGCAGTCCCTGGCTGCTGGAGCAGTGGCTGGGGTTGGGTGAGTCCCTGGGGCTGGAGTGGCTGCTGTTTGTCCACCCCACACCTCCACGTATTTTTAATATAAGTCACAGACAAGTTGCAGGCTTCTGTGAATTTCTGTTTATTGCCCATGACATGTCCCTGACTTTTACTAAAAATACCCATGACAGAAACTTAACCTTAACTGTCCATATGTAACAGAACAATCAATTCTGACCTGAGTCTTTATGGTACTTAAAGTGAAGCTCCAATCCAGACTATGTGAAAAGTCCACAGTGGACCGGCCCCATTTGTGTTCAGAGAAAGAGCCAATTAAAGTTGTTGCTGAAACAGTTAATACTTTTTATTCACCACCGAAGTGCCGAACTAAACAAAGGGATTTGCAAGCATAATTCCAATCCAGTTTATGCATTTACCGAAAAGTTAAGTAATGTCTTATTACCTTTATTGGGGAGATATGTGACCCAGAAACAACCCTGCTAGACTTGACATAGTTATCGTTTGTTAATACTGAGCCAATGGAGGAAAGCTTTATACATATGCACATACTGCCTGTGTTTAAATGTCCAAAGGGAGTTCACACCTTGCTGTAACCAGAGATTGAGTCCTCCATCTTTGTGCCTCTCCGTACTGTGTATAGTTTGAGGTCCTTTTAGTATTTCCAATGCATTAATGAACACTTCTATCTCGTCTTAACCCTGATTTCCAAAAAGGACAAATTTAAGATGATCTGTTTCCCTTTGACACCCAAATCAAGAGACTTGTTTTAAAATGTTAGAAAACTCACTAAAAGAGACAGCAGGCTAAAGGACTACCAAAGGATAGTTTTGATCATTTTCCTTATTGCATTCTTCTTACTTACAATTTCCATCTCTAAACATTCCTCTATTTCTGCATGGATAGACATTTCTGCTATACAGACAGATTTCTGTCACACTGGTTAAAATAGTAGCCAACGTCAAGCTTTTATCATGTAATAGACTTACACTGGCTCTTTGTACAAGTATGAAAGGCTTTTACTCTGTCTAGCGAAACACCTGGCTTAAGGCCAGCCCACAGGCCTGGTAAAATACTGGCTAAAAAGGTTACTCTTTGTAGCAGCTACTGACAGAATGAAGAAGCAAAAACTGAAGGAAAGCACTTTTCCTTAGAGCCACTGACTTGACCCCTCAAAATTAGTGGCTTAATGGCTTGGATAGAAGATACTCATAATAATGCAGGGATAAAAATTAACTATTGCTGTGAATGGAAAGACATCCATCGTTGACTCATCTTGAAAAAAAGAACAAGAATTTAAAATAGCGTGTTAGTAATAAGATGAATACATGTTTATTGTTCCAGTTTCCCACTTTCTCAAATAGTTCTTCCTGACATACTCCAAACACCATCATCCTCAGACACAATACCCATCACGCCACAGGAAGGGTTTTACTTTTGCTTTTAAAGTCTGGTGAATATTGATACTTACAAAAGTCAGATCTAATAAGCACTGGTAGTGTCAGGCACAAGGAGAGTTTCTGAATGCAATCCTGCTACCACAATTTAAAACTGACCCCCTATTCCTACTACAGCCGGGGCCAAAGTATAGTCAGTGAATCTGGCCCTCTACTTGAATTAAGTGTGGCTCACTGAAGCTGGAAGCCCCAGCTGCCCATCAAGTGAGTGGATCAAGATGGTACATGATGCATTGGGAGATGTAGCCTCTCAAGGCCACACCTTTGTATTAGAGATGAGGTCACCTCTCATTTATTCAGTTAAGAAAATTAAGTGGAGCCTTCAGTTGGCCAAAGGATGGACAGATTGCTCTTACCGTTGCAGCACTGGGATTTCTAAAGCTCCTTGATACCAACTGTCAGCATGGAGGAGAGACCCGCTGTACTTTTACCTGTTTTCTTACTATGCCATACACGAACAATTAGAAGCCCCTCTAATTGTAAGCCATTTAGGGGCATTAGCCAGGAAGAAGACAGAAGAACGGTAAAGAAAGTAAGCAGCGGACTGAAAGATGAGGCCTGGATCACGGGTACTGAAACAATGCAGGACCCTTCTGTTGCTACATCTTTGTGGACTAGGAGATTGAGACGATACGAAAAGCACATTACTCTCTACGTGAACACACCTATTTGCCACTTCCTTTGTAAAGCTGACCAATGTATAGGGACTGGATGAGATATGCAATACCAGGAATCAAGTTCCCTACGGAAAAAAATATTGTTTGGCTATTTAAGAGTGAGTATAGACTTAGGCCTGAAGGTTAAACTGCAATTATTACACAATCAGAAAAATACCCCTTCCCGATTTATAGTGCATTTGGGTAAATTCCATGCAAAAATGAATGCAGTACTTGAACATTTGGAATTTGTTCATTTCCCTAATAATTAACAATTTGGAAAGAGCTGTCATAGCAGAAAAACAATATTTTTAAGGAGCTACATATTTTCACTGTGACCCTTCACAATTTCATGGTGAAATGATGATTGAGGGCATGAAGGCTATATTCTCAACTTCACTGAAACCAGATATAAACATTAAAGCCAAGGGGCAAGGAATTAAAGTTTCCTAGAATTCTTCCTACTGCTATAGGAAAGCGACCCCGTAATTTGCATCATATTTAGCAACTCAGACGTTACAAGCATACCCAGCTGGCTGCAGTCAAGCTGTAATACTTTCACAGCAGTGTGTAATACTGCTCAGTGGGCATTTGACTTAAAACAATGAGCATCAGTAAAACTTAATTTCTCCTGTTGTTACATCCAAAATTATTTAAAATTAATAGATTCAAAACCAGAGTGGTGAGTGGATCAAAAGAAGAATTTCCTTTAAATCTCTATTTTCACCCTGATCACCACAATAATGCATATGTTCCTTTTGTTACGCGAGCATGGAGATAGCATCATGATTATCAGGCCTTTTATTAATATACCAGCAGAAATACATATACTATTTCTTATTGGGCCGGCTGTGCCAGTGATGGTGGTATATTCTATGCCATGCCATCTGAAAAAATTAAGGTTTCAAGGTTCAGTCGTCCAAGGAGCTGAGCACCCACAAAACACATTAAGTGTCCAGATATTATCTTGTCAGTCATCCATGTGGGGAAATATCCACTCCCATTCTGTGTAGATACATAATCATGACTGCTAACCTTTTGCAGTTGTAAATACTAGCACAAAAAAAGGCAACACTCCATATTGGTAGTGCCGACCCTCTCCCTATCAATACACAGACCAATCTCTAGGCATGCAAGTGACCACAGGGGCCTGAAAATGCAGCCTGTCACATTTCTCTAGAAGATGCAGGCTTGTTCCTAGACACCATCCTGAGGTTTTTTTTAAAACCAGAAAAACATTGAGTCTTCAATCAAATATAGGTGGGTATAGATAAAGGGAAGATGACACATCCACTGAGGGAGACAGAGGGAGAGAACTGCTGCTCAGTACTCCATCTCTCATAACAGACCTAGTAGCCCTGCTGATGAAGGTCCTTAACTCATCTGCCCTCTGCAGCTTTCCTGGTATTTTCATGCCAGAATGACCTGTGCTTCTGAAGCCCCAGAGTCAAATCACTGTGAACTCAGATTTCAGAGTGGTAGCCATGTTAGTCTGTAACTGCAAAAACAAGGAGGATTTCCCCCCAACTGTTACTCACACCTTCTTGTCAACTGTTTGAAATGGGCCACTCTCATCACCACTACAAAAGTTATTTTTCCTCCCTTGGTATCCTATTGTTAGTTGAATTGTCTCATTAGACTGACCTCACACTTCGTAAGGCAACTCCCATCTTTTCATGTATTGATACCTGCTCCTGTATGCTCCACTCCATGCATCTGATGAAGTGGGTTCTAGCCCACGAAAGCTTATGCCCAAAGAAATGTGTTAGCCTCTAAGGTGCCACAAGGACTCCTCGTTGTTTTTGTGAACTCAGAGGCATAAATACCAGGAAAGCCACAGAGTTCCAAAGAGTTAGGGTACTGAGTACCTTTCCATACATCTGCTGCCTCTGAAGAGAAAAGACTCAATGTGTCTCTCTCACACACAGCAGCCTTTATATAGCAGCCAGTTTTCATCCCTATCTTCTGACAGGAAATAGGAGGAGCCAGCAGAAAAAACAAACTGGCTATATTGCTATTAAGGAGCAACTAGGGCTGGAGAGTTGGGTCACATGGCCTCCCAGCAAACCAAAAAAGAGAGAAGAGCAGACAGGTGTCCCTCGCTCTCATGCACCCCACCCCACAGTAGCCCTGGTTATTTATATACGGTAGCCATTGAATATCCAGGTAAAATATTCACTCAAATACTGAATTCACCCCATCACTCCTTGACAATGAAATACAATCATTAAGTTTTGAGATAGTTCTCCAATATTTTTTCCAGGTCACCAAATGACAGGACTGCAGTATGCCAGTAAAAAATGTGAAAGGCACAATTATTCTTTTTGCAAACTGTGATGTACAACACAAGAGTCTCAAATATGACACCAACAGGGCTACAGCAACACTGCATACATTATTTAACAAGACTGTCTTTATGCTAAAGAATTAATTGCAAAGGAGTAAGATTTACCTGATGAAATACAGGCTCTTTCAAATTTAGGTAAATCTGCAAAGCATCAAAGAAAAAGTGTTACACATACTTTGTTTTGCATACTGAAAATCATAAAGACTTAAGCCATGTTAGCATAAAAACACAACTATCCACCTACACAGTACTAAACTTGATTAGGCATCGGAGTTCTTTCCCCTGACAATAGCAAGCACCAATATTCTTTGAGTCCCTCCAGATTTATGTCACTATTTAAAAAAATAGGGTAGTAATAGCTACCCTAAACAGATAGTTTTAGATGTGAATGTCGCTTAATTTATTCAAACTGCAACACACATACAGTAAGTTAAAAATGCATTAAAATTTTGAATATAATCCTTGATAGGTACTGAAACAGACTGAACTATAGTCCTCATAGGCAATTAATTTTTTCTTGAAATTATCAATCCGTGTCTGTTAAATGATGCCTCTAAATTCCCACAGATGCTAACAAAAAGTCACTGTAGACGCCTACTGCTAAGGTAGTGAGTTCAAATCCTGTTTTGGAAAAAAGTGGGCATTATATTTATGAAAAGAATTATTTTTTCATTTCAGTCTCAATCTGATCTGCTCCACAATATGCCATATCAAAAAGGCTCAGAAGAACAGTCAACGCATATAAAGATGCAAAATCTGCAATACATTAGGATAAGGGTCGGTAGGATTACTTGGCTTTATCTCCCATCACCAAATATAGAGATGCCATCCACGTTGGTTTTAGGTTCCTAGGAAGCATCCCCCAAACATACAGGGAGCACATTGAACCAAGGAACAGAATCAAAATTAACCTTAACTGTGTCACATTTATTTTGATAATTTAAACAGCTAACTTTTAGTTGTGGCTGGTTTTGACTTCTATTTAGCACATATATTGCTTTCTAACTGTAGATCTCAACGCATTTTACAAAGATGACTGAGCATTATCCTCCTCATTTTACAGATGAAAAAGCGAAGGCTCAAAAAGGTAAAGAAACTGCCCAAGGTCTCAGAACAAGACAATGGAAAAGTCAGAACAGCAGACCATTTTTCTGACTCCCAGGACCTAGCACCTGGATTACCTCCCTATACTCTTATACGAAGGAACTTTTCTTTTACCACATGAAGTGTTTTGGATCAATTTTTATTTACAGAAGGCGTTAACGTTTCCCATAGAAGAATTACATTTTGCACAATGCAATAACTAAATTAGTCTCCCCAGCTTTGAACAGATTCCCCCTTCCCGCCCAGTTTCAACAGCAAGCAATAAAGTACAAGAGATGGAATTTTGCCAGTTTAATATTCCTTAAGTGTTAGGAAAATGACTAATGCACATATGAAAGTTCTGCATAAGAAAAAGTTACTTACTATGCTGACTATGACACTGAAAGTTATTAATACAAAAAGCAGAGGATAATTGACACTGTTCTTGTGCTTGAAACATTCGTACCTGAAATAAAACATACAGGAAAGTTACGTCTTACTTTATCATATATAAATGATAAATCCTACAAGAGGTAATGATGTTAAAAAGAACCATTTGTTGGAGATTAAAGGGAACCTGTGAAGAAAGTGACATGAAACACATGGGCCCTGTGAGAAAATTTAGACTTTCCCACAAGGCCCTGTCACTTTTACAGATGGAATATATTTCACTTGTAATAAATATTGGCCTGATATTTATTCTTAATTATATGTTACTGTATGAACAACTAGTTTGGGAAAAATACAAGCCAATACATGCAGGGAAAAGATAACCCAATGGAAAAAAAAAGAACCTGGGAAGAAATAATGCCTAAAAAGGCTTACTTTTTTATGGACAGCAAATTAGACATAAGTTTGATGCGGTTACTAGAAAAAAAAATACTGAAAAACTTTCACATAGTAACATGTAGCCCAAAATTGTATAGCATCAGAAAACAGTAAATTATATGGCTGTGGTGCAATCACACTTAGATTATTGGGTACAGTTCTGAGAACCACATCATCAGAAAAGAGTTTGATAAACTGGAAAGAACTCAGAGAACAGCAAACGTGACTGGGGCTGGAGGAATGGATGTGTAAAAAAAAATTAAGACCTAAATAATGTATAGCTTAGCTAAACGATGAAGAAGGATTAATATGTCTACAAATCACCACAGAGGGAGAAGAATTACTTGGCCTTATAGTAATGGATGAAATGGAGGAAAAATATATATACTTATTATCTGCAAAAAATCTTCAAGACAGGAAGACGTACAGCTCTGGAGCATCCTGCCAAGGGACGTGGTGGAAATTCCAGTACTTGGGATTTTAAATTAGATTGAAACAAGGGCTAGGGAATGTTCTGTATTGATCAATCCTACTTTGGCTAGCAGATGAACTAGATCTCTCTTTTTGAACTTCCATAATTTCACAAAATATAAGCACATTACGTAAAGCACTTATATTTAAGAATTTACATGCAGTATACAAATCACTGTACACCATTTCAAGCAGATACTGTGCACAAGCTCCTCTTAGGTCTTTTATACTTTTAAAAATATGGAATAACCAATATGACCCAAGAACTGGTGTTTGAACTTTGTTTTTTCTTCTCTGAATCACATTCAATTCAGGCAAAATAAATGCAAAAGAAATCTCGGGGACAGGATAAAAAAAGATGGAGAAAAGTTGTTCTCTCTTACCACAGAGGTCTGGACAAGAGGCAATGGGTTCAAACTACAGCATAGCAGATTTAGATTAAATCTCAGGAAAAACTTCCTAACTGTAAGAACAGTAGGACAATGGAATAGACCACATAGAGAGGTTGTGGAAGCTCCTTTACTGGAGGTTGTCAAAAGGAGGCTGTATAGCCATCTGTCTTGGATGGTTTAGATCCAGTGGTTCTCAACCTATTTATCATTGTGGGCCGCATATGCAGCATTCTATGTGTTATGTAGGCCTCATTCACACAATATATATACTAGCTGCATGGCCCTGAGGATGTCACATGGACTGCAGCTGTGTGCTGATTGGTCTGCAAGTGGCCCGTGGGCTGTGGGTTGAGAACCACTGGTTTAGACATAGCAAATCCTGCATCTTGGCAGGGGGTTAGACTCAATAGATGACCCTTGCGGTCCCTTCTAGCCCTATGGTTCTATGATTCTCAGATGATTTCAGATTAAAGTGAAACAATGTTAAGAATGAAAACATTATGGACCAAAATTTTACATCATAGCTGGTGTAAATTGCAGTGCATGCAGCTATGTTAATTTACCCCATACAATTGTCAGACACATCGAAGAACATAACTTGTTGGGCAAAAGTCAACATGGTTTCTGTAAAGGGAAATCATGTCTACTAATCTATTAGAGCTCTTTGAAAGGGTCAACAAACTTTGGACAAGGGGGATCCAGTGGACATAGTGTACTTAGATTTCCAGAAAGCCTTTAGCAAGATCCCTCACCAAAGGCTCTTAAGTAAATTAAGTTGTCATGGGGTAAGAGGGAAGATCCTTTCATGGATTGAGAACTGGTTAAAAGACAGGGAACAAAGGGTAGAAATAAATGGTAACTTTTCAGAATGGAGAGGGATAACTAGTGGTGTTCCCCGAGGGTCAGTCCTAGGACAAATCCTATTCAACTTATTCATAAATGATCTGGAGAAAGGGGTAAACAGTGAGGTGGCAAAGTTTGCAGATGATACTAAACTGCTCAAGATAGTTAAGACCAAAGCAGACTGTGAAGAACTTCAAAAAGATCTCACAAAACTAAGTGATTGGGCAACAAAATGCTACAAAGCTCCCTGAACCAAGGAGGAGAACTGCTTTGGATGTTGTGCCAAAACATTATATTAGTTTTTCTAGGACACTCTTCTACAAAGTATTTAGTTTCCATAAGAATTTTTTTTTAAAGGGTGTGGAAAGCAGGTTTGACCAGAATTTAGAAATTTCCATTTGGAGCACAGGTTATATCACATTGTCCCTAATGAATGATAAACCCTGCTGTTTTTGCAAGTTTCATTACTCTTGTTGTCTACATGCCAAATAATGCTTAATTCTTAACTGCATATAGTGCTTTACATTTGCAAAGTGTTTTTACAAACATTAATTCAACATCCTTGTTAAGTAGGGAGGCAATTTGATTCGTTTATTAACATTTCTACAAAGCTTATCACAGTATTGTCTTATTTTATCCAAAATTTTATGCCTCATTTACAGGTAGGGAAATAGACAAAGAGGTTAAGCAACTGCACCTGGTCACACAGCAGGTCTAAGTTAGCAATGCTAGGACTAGAAGTCAGAGTTCCTGGCTCCTAATCTGCCCATTAGATCATGATTCTTTACTGTTAGTAAAATTGCTGACTGCATTGAGTCTAGCATAGATGTTTTAGCATCAGTTTCAATGAGAGCAGATTGGGTTCCATGTATTGGTCATTACATAAAAGTACCTTTCCAATATTAAAAACATTTGACAAAATGTACTTACAGGCAGTAGACAAACACACAACAACTGTATATCATTGGCAGCTCATCCAACAGCTACAAAAAGCAGAGAAACACCAAAACATGAAAATTGCTTTTAACTCATGCACACTGGTGTAAGTTAACTATGGGGAGTCACTTGTTAAGTAGGGGGTTTTAAACAGTTTTATGATACCCAGCTTCTTGACTATATTTTCCTATACAACAGTGTCAAATGCCTCTCAACCTTACAAAGCAGGTGAGTTACTATGCTTGCTTAACTGAATCTTTCAAATATTACATATTACGAGAAAGCATGTGTTCACAGCTCTCTGCCATTTTCACTACTCTCATATCCCTTTTAAACATTTACAGAATTTCCAGGAAATTAAAAATCCTAAAGTACAGGACCTACCTAACCCACACATTCCATAACCTGCTCAAAACATTTCGTGGCATCTCTCCACCTCTCAATAAAAATTAATCAGTAGGTCGCAGTGAAGCCTCTTTGAGACCTCATTATTTTTGCACAGAATATTACAGAACATTAGTACATTATGAAATATTCTCTGATGCAGTAGCCTTGCTTTTCATTTACCTTCTTTCTAATTTGAAAATTAAGTAAACTGTAGTAAGTTGCAATAATTGGGTCTTCCAATTATGACTGCAAATTAATGCAGTTTTATCTTAAATAATTTTTAAACCATTAGTAATAGGATCACAACATTTTGTCTAAAGAAAACAAAGTTACTTTTCTGGAGTAAAAAAAACCAGTCTCTGGGAAGTAATACACCCACCTTAACTAAGGAGGCAAAAAAGACCTATGAAAAATAGACACTTCTGCTGAGGATGCTCATTTTGCATTTGAACTTTTGCATTACATACACAGAATCAGAACGTCACCTTTTCCATCAAAACTCTGCACTCCAATGAGTGCTTACATACACGTACATGTGAATTTGAGAGTGTGGAGTTGATTTCTCACTGAAGTTAGCAGTAATAATATAATATATGGAGATGTACCTATCTCATAGGGCTAGAAGGGACCCCGAAAGGTCATCGAGTACAGCCCCCTGCATTCACTAGCAGGACCAATTTTGCCCCAGATCCCTAAGTGGCCCCCTCAAGGATTGAACTCACAACCCTGGGTTTTAGCAGGCCATCCCTCCCCCTCCCCAGTAAAGTCATGAGATTGACAATCTTGAAAAAGGGGTCATTAAATATTTTGAACTTAGAAAGTATGTGGTGTAAATAGTTTCAATTAAAGAACAATTTTTATGTTTCTTTACTTTGACCCACATTTTTTTTCCAGAGAGAAATGAATGTTCCCAGAAAAGGTAAAATAGGGCCCGCATGTTTTGCTGCTGGAGGCAGTAGTACCCCCTTTTCTGAAGGTTGAGTGGGATTGCCAAGCTGGAGCTGTGCTGGTACTGAGGCTCCTGGCTCCCGGCCTAGTAGCCCTCAATTTGGGAAGAAGGCCTCTGAACGCTTTGGCCAAAATAAGCATTCCATTTTTTTAACTTTCACGTTGAAAGGCAATTCAGTCATTTTAAGAGAGTGGCTGAGTCTCTCAAGAATGAGAGCAAATTAGCTTATCTTGTTTTTGGCAAAAGAAACTTAGAGAATTCAGAAGAGATGACCAACAATACCAGGATAAATGAAGCTATTCATTTAGAAGATTCAGCACTAGAGATGAACAGCCCAGAGTTTGCTTAAACCATTTCTTAGCATTTTTGAAATTTCAATTTCCAAAGGTCTGGTCAGGCATAACCATGTGATTAATCGATGTAGCTCCTTCTTTAAAAAAAAAAAGTTAAGAAAGACAGAAAGAAAGACAGAAAGAAAGAAAAACAAATACTATGGCCAACATTTCCAAAACTGGACACCTAACATTAGCCTCCAAATTGCACATTTTGGTAGTTTTCAAGGACAAAATAGTAGAGTAAATCTGCTAGAGGTACAAACAGATTTCATCTAGGTGAGAACCAACTCCCCCAAAAAGACAGCCTGGCCCAGGCACAAGAAGGAGGGTGTGAATCAGTCCTTTCAGAAGTCTTAACTACTAGATGCCTGAGCATTGAGGAACTTTGGGTGGTGACATGGTGAGCTGATATAGCTGCCCACCAAACAGTTTTGGCAGCTGCTCTTCAGGCAGCCCCTGGAACAATTTTTCTGAAGCCCTTGCCTTTTCCCCTTTGCCGTACAATTCTGCCTGATGGTCTGAGTTAATGAAAGCTCCTGTGAAAGTTACCACTTGAGCCTCTATGAATGACAACTTTTCATTGTTGAGCCACAGACCCAGTGAATAACAGCATTGTCTAAAGGATGGAATGTACTTTTTCTGACTATGGGGACTCATCAGCTAGTAACAGGGGTAATTGTGAATCCCTCACATTTAGATCAGCTGCTTCTATAGCTAGCCGTTGAGTGCTGTGGTGTAATTTGTACTAGAAGTGGCCTTGCAGATGCAAAGCTTAGGTACTTTATACATTCTGACCTCAATGACAGACAATATGCATCACTGAGGCTGACAGCCTCCAACAAATCCCATGGACATAAGAGAGAAGATTATGGAGGCCATCACCATCCTGATCTTGACTCAAGAGGATGAATGTGTCTCATGTTCTCAGATCTAGGACAAAACCCTTCAAGTCTTCTTGGGAATGAAGCTATATTGAGACTAGCATTTCCTTTCCCAACAATGCATTGCTGAAGAACCTTATTCCCAAATGGAGAAGCAGCCAACAATTACAGCATTCCACAGAGTTTTGACTTCAGTGCCAAGGGCAGTTGCACATTTAGAAGTGCAGTTTTATACTGCTACAAAATTAAGCAATACATGGGGATACCAATGGACGACAAAATAATCCTAGGCAATAATGTTCAGTAGCAAGTCAAAGCTGTAATGTCGTTTAACATTACAGCATCACAAATGAAAACTCTGTAACAATCTCATAACAGGTAACATCCCTTTTACTAAATAGCCAATTGATTACAGTACTAATTTAGAAACCAGTATCCATTCCTGCATGCACATCAGTACCAATGGCTAACAAAGTAGGGCTCACACTAGATCTATGCTGAAAGGAGTCATGTCCAGTGACTTATAAGGAATAGGTCAATTTATTTTACAGATAAATCTAACAAAATTAGATTAGCTAAGAACAAATCCCTAAAATGACACATTTTGTCCACCTTTAGAGTGAGAGTGCTTTGCCGGCTCTGCCAGACTTAAAAGGTATGTGCACAGCCACCTGTGTTGATTCCTATGAGGGAAAAGCAAATCACCAGAGGCATTTGACAAAGCCCTGGCTGGGATGATTTAGCTGGGAATTGGTCCTGCTTTGAGCAGGGGGTTGGACTAGATGACCTCTTGCGGTCCCTTCCAACTCTGATATTCTATGATTCTATGATTTGGTTACAGAATTTAAAAAACCCACCAAATGCACACTTGGGGACAATAGTGACTTACCTGCACAAGGTTATTTGCATCTGCTGTTTAGTACTAACCTGCATTTCATACTTCAGGGTCATGTGGAAGCACCAGGATCCCAATCCAACAGCTGAAATCAAAGCAAAAACACAATTAGCATAAACGTTTGTTAAAAACACATCACAGTATATTATCTTAACAAATTAACTTCACTGACAACAGATCTTTAAATATTGCAGACAGGGACATTTTCAGTCATCTATCCAGTTTTTGTAATGCCTTTTAATTGACACCTTGGTCTTTAAAGATCCCACTGAACTTTTTGTAAGAGACTATTTCCCCCAGCATTCTTTCCCATGAAATGGTGGGAGAGCACTGAGCATTAGGATCACAAGAGTATTGTATTCCCAAATATTAAATGTATTAGATCCATTAAAAAAAAGATGACGAGAAATAGTTACACAGCATAAGCGCCGACTCTGTGGGTGTTCCAGGGCTGGAGCACCCACGGGGAAAAATTAGCAGGTGCTCCACACCCACCGGCAGCCAAGCTCCCCGCTCCCAGCCTCCTCCTCCCCCTCCCCCGAGAGCACCGCATCCCCTCTCCTACCCCTTCCTCCCAGCACTTTCTGCCCCCTGCCGCCTAACAGCTGTTTGGCGGCGCTTAGGACTTTCCGGGAGGTGGAGGAGAGGGAATGCGATGCTCGTCGGGGGGGGGGGGGGGGGGGAAAGAGGCAGGGGCAGGGACTTGGGGGAAGGGGGTGGAATGGGGGCAGGGTTGGGATGGGAAAAGGCAAGGTGGGTGGGGACTTGGGGGAAGGGGTGGAATGGTGGGGGGGTCGAGCACCCACTGGGCAAAGGGGAAGTCGGCACCTGTGTTACACAGTATTGTCTTCTGTGGCTAAATAAAAACCACAAACCTGTGATATTTTTGTTGATGTTTAGCTAAAAGGTTTTAAAAGCCCAAATTTACAGAATCTTTTTATCAGGCCACGGGAAACAGGTTTTGAGTTCAGATTTCAAAATTAGAGTCAGGTGCAGCTGTGGATTGCAGTTTATGTAAACCTAATGGAACTATTCAGAAAAGACAAGCAGGTCTTTTCCATTTCTGACTTCTACGAAGCTCTTGATATATGCACCTTGCTTTTTTCATTTGATAAATTTGCCCTCGGATCTCTGTATTTACTTCTGACGTTAGTTTAAAGACACCACCTTACCTGGATATCATCTACCTTGTTTTTCTTAGGCCTGATGGAGACAGAGTCTTAAGCCGTGTCTACACTCAGACTTCAGCCAGCATAGCTATGTTGTGTGTGGCCCTTGACCAATACAGCAGTGTGGGCAGAAGCCCCTGGTGTACAGTTAGGCTGGTCTACACTACTGCTTAAGTTGATGTAACTTACGTCGCGCAGGAGTGTCACAAAGACCACCCCCCCGGAGCGAAGTAAGTTACACCTCTCACGGAGATGGAGTAATTATGCTGATGGGTGAGCGCTCTCCTATCGTCATAGTGCGTCGTCACCAGATGTGCTACAGTGGCGGAGCTGCATCAGTGCAGCTGCGCCCATGTAGTGCTCTAGTGTAGGCTTGCCCTCAGTTATACTGGTAAAGCCATGCTTTTATGGATAGAGTTTGTTTTGCGCAGGGAGAGGGGAATCGGATATCAGTAAAAATGTAGCTTTGTTGGTATAAGTTGCGTCCACAGTAGGAGCACTTTCCCGGTATAGTATACCAGAATTCCCACACAGGTAAAGTGCTGCTAGTGGAGACACTGCCAATTGAACAACACAACTTTTGTTGTTCACAAGTGCTTTAAAAAAAAACCCCTCTGAAAGACAAAAGTTTTGCTGCAGCAAGTGGCAATGTAAACGGCTTGTTGTTGGCAGGAGTGCTCTCTTATCAACAAGGCGAACCCTGTTCGTAGGGGGTGGAAGTATTTTGTAAGCAAAAGTGCCGACAAACAATGTTTACACTGCCCAACTTAGCAACACAGCTGTGTTGCTAAAAGCTGTGTAGTGTAGACAAAGCCTTAGAAATTGTTCCATTTAGATAAGACTTGGTGGGGCAGGGGGTTAAGTTTGGCAGGGGTTTGGTGGTCTCCCCTAGTACTTTCAAATGTGACAAGACATGTTCCTTGCCATTAAAATCTCCCTTTTTGGGGGTATGGGGAAAGAGTAGATTGTGTATATACCCAGACATTTACCTTTCTACCTAAAACTCTCCCTTAGTTTCAAATTAAGGTATTTTTCATTTTGTCTTAAACTGCTCTGTAGTGTTGCACTCCACTCTAAAGATATAATAGTCACATTTCAGTAATGGGTAAATAGATCACTTTCTATAAAATATACTGACGTTTGTAAAGTTTATCAGATGTGCAAGAGCCCTTATCTAGAGGTGTTTTGTTTTTTTATGCTCTGTCAGACTAGTATTACTAGGTCCCTGTCTCCTTACTGAAGAGGAATTGCTAAGCGTGTAACTGCTTACTTATAGTCACATTTGCAGTCCAACCATATTGTTTAAAATGTATTGTCATAGATATCTGAACTTCATTAGTGCTCTGGGGAAACTGGACACCATTGTCTATGGTAAGCATATGCACTTCCATTGTTCCCAACTGAAATTTAATTAAAACGATTACTCATTTAAACCTAACACTGTGCACCTGCATCTACACATTCTTTTTAGAGAATCTTTTCATATCATGACCAGCATCTATTCCAACTCCATTAAGATTTAATTGGGAAATTAACCATGTATCTGGTTACACCTACAGTACATTCTGACTGTCATTCAATTTGGAAACCAAAACCAGTTAGTGTCACTGTAGTCAAGATTACATCCGTATTTTCTCTATAAAATCCTTTTCAGTTTATAAGAGCTATACATTTCACCTTGGGCAGAAACATGACATGCAAGGTTTCAACTTGTTTTTGTAATTAACAAAGTATGTTGTTAGTTGTAGGTTATTAAAGTTATAAATCCAGAAAACCAATTATAATCCCACTCCACACATACAGAATTAGAAGCTGTTATTTCAGATTTTTTTTTGGAGCCCTTATACATTCAAAACTGTTGTAAGGACTATGTTGTAGAACCTTGGGGTTTCTTTTATTATGAAAGATTATACTGGGTTGAAAGATATTCCTTAAAATGCTTAAAATGAGAAATGCTCTTGAGTCTGTTAAATTCTAAAAAACTATGAATGCTTTAGGTGCAAGCACTGTACATGCACTATTTTAATAAAATCTATAACTGAGGTACCAATACCCTGTCTTGGTGCAATCATGTCAGATTTCCTAAATAAAGCAGGATCAGATCTGTTCAGTATTTGGATGCAAGAACTCAGTGAGAAATCCAGGGTGCTGCATGATGTGGGGCTGGTTATTCAGTAGGTGGCACTCTCCCCTCTGAATCAGTGCCCTAGAACAGAGCTGTGAGAATTGTGCTTAGGGTACTATTTTTTGGATGAGACAGAAAATCCAGACCTTGAATACTTTTGGTCATAAGAGCTCATGTCAACTTTATGCAAAAGTAATAATGTCACTCTAGAGTCCTGATAAAAGCCATCTAAAGTATATTTTGTCCATCTAAGAGAACCCCTTAAATTCAATTCTGTTTGCATGGTGGTGGCTTTTTTGCTCCATCCCAGTAGCAGTTAGTAATCCATATACTCTAAGTATGCATATTGAGAGTCTTGAAGATTGATGCTACCATATAGTACATCAGTTAGTTTTACTGTTTGACTTTGGTATATGTTCACAGCAGCCAAATAGATCATCATCAATCAAAAGGACATCCAGTCAACACTCAGCTGAGAAGCCACTGTGCTCAAGCAAGAAACCAAATTGTGTGCCGAGATAGCAGGTAAATATGCGTTTTCAAATGAAGGTAATTGTGAAAGGAACTACTTAACACGACAAAAGGTTACAGTCTTTTGTGCAAATTATAAGTCAGACTCCTTATCTGTCATGGAGGTCGTGGAAATCACGGATTCCGTGACTCCTGCAGGGGCCAGTGTGGCTCACCCCAGGGTACCCAAGAGGCTGGCTCCAGGGTCAACCGGTACCCGGCCGGCCGGGGCAGCCGCGGTCCACAGCCCCCAACAGCTGGTGCCGCCCGACACCCCCTCAGCAGCAGCTCCCATGCCCCGCGGCACCTCCACCCCAAGATTTAGTCACAGGTATTTTAGTAAAAGTCATGGACAGGTCACGAGCCGTGAATTTTTGTTTATTGCCCATGACTTTTACTAAAAATACTTGACTAAATCGTATCCTTAATTATAAGCATACCCAGCATTTGTCCATCACCAAGCACAGATGCCCCTAACATGCTTACCAAAATAAAACAAAAACAAACAAACAAAAATCACAGTATTTTAAGACTGCAGTTTCAGCAAGTTTCTAAACTGAAAAAGGCACTGTGGATGTCATGCTTGCAAGTTACAGGATGCTGATTTGCTGCATCATGCTACATCCACTGGGCAGGCAAGGATCCCATTCCACTCTGCTCATGATCTAAGACTAAGGCCATGTCTACACCAGGAGTGCTTCACCAATACATAGGGCACTACCATATTCATGGTCCATTTTGGTCAATTTCACGGTTCTAGTATTTTAAAAAATCATAAATTTCATGATTTCAGCTATTTAAATCTGAAACGTCATGGTGTTGTAATTGTAGGGGTCCTACCCAAAAAGGAGTTGTGTGAGAATGTGTGTGTGTGGGCGTGGGGGGAGGCTCGCAAAGTTATTGTGGGGGGGTCCTAACTCAAAAAGGAGTTGTGTGTGAGGGGGCAGGATCACAAGGTTGTTGTGGAGGGGGTTGCAGTTCTACTACCCTTAGTTCTGCGCTGCTGCTGGCGGCGGCAACGCCTTCAGAGCTGGGCAGCTGGAGAACAACAGCTGCTGGCTGGGGGCCCAGTTCTGAAGACGTCACCGCAGCCAGCAGCAGCACGGAAGTAAGGGGATGGCCTGGTGTGGGATTGCCACCCTTACTTCTGCGCTGCTGCCTGCAGAGCTGGGCCCTCAGTCAGCAGCCGCCACTCTCCAGCCACCCAGCTCTGAAGGCAGCAGCACAGAAGTAAGGGTGGTATGTCATCTTTAGGAAAGATGTGGATACACTGGGAAGAGT